CTGCCTGTTCCATTCATTAGTGTGTGATTCTCAGTGAGTTATTGGCCTCTCTGTGCATAATCAGACTGTATAACTATACCTGATCACTTCGCTGGGTGGCCATAGGAATTGAGATACTTCTATCAAAAGCAAGCTTTTATTCTCTTTGCTTTCCTTCACACTATTATGACCACTATATTTCAGTTTTATATTTACTTTGGTGGGGGAGGGGAGGGTAGGAGGAGTCTGGGTGGGGGAGGGGTTTGGTTGGCAATGGGGCTTAAACTCAGGGCCTGGGCACTGTCTCCAGCGTTTTTTGCTCAAGGCTAGTGCTCTATGACTTTGAACCACAGTGCCACTTCCAGTTTTCTGATGGTTAAGAGGAGATTAAGCGTCTCATGGACATTCCTGCCAAATCTGACTTCAAACTGCAATCCTCAGATCTCAGCCTCCTGAGTAGCTAAGATTTTTTTCAGATTTTAAAAACCATGAACACCTAACAATTGAAGAAATGTTTTTACTTCCACTTTATAAATAAGTTCTGTAGGGGGAAAAAAAAAAAAAAAGAAAGCTATAAGAAACTTACTAGAATAAGGAACACAACTAGAGGGGCTCGGAAGGTGGCTCAGGGGTAGAGTGCTCGCCTCGCATGCATGAGGCCCTGGGTTTGATTCCTCAGTACCACATAAACAGAAAAAGCCAGAAGTGAAGTGGTGCTATAGCTCAAGTGGTACAATGCTAGCCTTGAGCTGAAGAGCTGAGGGACAGCGCCCAGCAGAGTTCAAGCCCTACAACTGACAAAAAAAAGGAAAAAAAGAAAAGAAAAAGAAAAAGAAACTCAACTAGAAAGTAGTTTAGGGGCTGGGAATGTGGCTAAATGGTAGAGTGCTTGCCTAGCATGCATGAAGCCCTGGGTTCCATTCCTCAGTACCACATAAACAGAAAAGGCCAGAAGTGGCACTATGGTTCAAGTGGTAGAGTGCTAGCCTTGAGCAAAAGAAGCTCAGGGGCAGGCTCAGGTCCTGAATTCAAGTCCCAAGACTGGCAAAAAAAAAAAAAAAAAAAAAGTAGTTTAGTACATAAATATATAGCCAGTTAACTTTTATACCATTCTATGGTATAAAGAAGTTTTTGTCAGTATTAATTAAAAGAAGTTATTCAGGGCTGGGAAGGTGGCTCAGTGGCAGAGTGCTTGCCCTGCATGCATGAGGCCCTGGGTTCGATTCCTCAGCACCACATAAACAGAAAAAGCCAGAAGCGGTGCTGTGGCTCCAGTGGTAGGGCACTAACCTTGAGCTGAAGAGCTGAGGAACAGTGCCCAGGCCCAGAGTTCAGGCACCACTACCAACACCCAAAAAATAAAATAAAATAAATAAAATAAAGTCTCACTTAAAAAAAAAAAAAAAAGGTCATTCATTGCCAGATGTGACACCACAGCCTTCAACTACTATTCATGCTTCTTTGAAGCAGTACCTATTTTATTAAATTCAGGTATTGAAACTTCAAATACTCAACATGAAGAAGGAATGACAGAATTTAAAACAGCATTTTTATAATCTCCAATATACATTATTTCTCTATCCTGCAAAGAAAATAGATCAAGATAAATTTAATTTATTTTGATATGGCTTTTATTTGTAGGAGCATGTCTGAATCAAACAGTAAAAAGCAGTTAGAAGGGCTCAGTGTCAAAGCACTTGCCTAGCAAGTACAACATCCTGGGTTCAAGCCCCAGTACCAAAAGATACCAAAAAAAAAAAAAAATACAGTACACACAAACACACACACACACACATTTTGCCAGGTGCCAGTGGCTCATGCCTGTAATCCTATCTATACAGGAGGCTGAGGACTACAATTCAAAGCCAGCCTGGGCAGAAAAGTCCATAAGACTCCAATTAATCTCCAATCAATCACTGTGGTTCAAGAAGTAGAGTGCTAGCTAAAGGAGCTTAGGGGCAGCACCCAGACCCAGAGTTCAAGGCCTAAGACTGCCACCCCCCCCCCAAAAAAAAGCACATAGCTAAGTGCCAGTGGCTTTAGTCTGTAATACTAACCACACAGGAGGCTGAGATCTGAAGATTACAGAAGCCAGCCTGAGCATCAACATTCTTAAGATATTTTTTTCTTTCTTTTTTTTTTTTTTGGTCAGTTGTGGGGCCTGAACTCTGGGCCTGGGTACTGTGCCTCAGCTCTTCAGCTCAAGGCTAGCGCTGTACCACTTGGGCCACAGCACCACTTCCGGCTTTTTCTGCGTTATGTGGTGCTGAGGAATCGAAACCAAGGCCTTATGTATGCAAGGCAAATACTACCACTGAGCCACCTTCCCAGCCCCTCTAAAGATTCTTTTCTTCAATTAATCACCAAAAAGCAGAAAGTCAGGTTGTAGCTCAACTGGTAGAGAACTAGCTTTGATCAAAAAAGCTAAGGGATAGTATCCAGGCCCTGAGTTCAAGCCCCAGTATTGCCACAAACAAAACAAAACAATAAACTAGCTACAATGATTCACAATACACAATTACTTATAACTAAGTAGACATTAATTACAGCACTTCTTCAAAGTCTCCAAATATTGGAGTAAAAAATATGCTAAGCTTCATATTAAAAAAAAGTTTAAATGTACCACAAATGCCTATATCATTTCTACATTGTTTTATAAAGATGTCACCAAATGAATCAATTATCAAGACATCTTTTATACTTCGCAAAAATTTACAAAATTCATTATCCTGCCCATGTAATTGTAACCCCTCTGTACAGTATGTTCTCAAATAAAATAAAATTAAAAAAAAAAAAGACTACACTATATAAAAAAAAAAAATGTACAAAATTCAACTAATACCTGAATTAATTGTATTTGTTTAAAGAATCTGGCAAATCTATAACGCTTATTTGAGAATTCATTACCTTTATTCTACAAACTTTAGGTTAGACTTTTCCAAAATATATTCTAAATAATATGAAATGTTATTTTAAACAAAAATTATCACTTTTCTTGGAAAATTGAGTTTTGTTTTTGTTTTGAAATTTTCAAATCCACTCATGTTATAACCACATTAAATACAAATCTTTTTTAGAAAATTCAATGGTTTAAAGGAACAGAAAAAAATCATTGTAGTCCTATAACATATATAAAATCCCATGGTAAAATTGTTCTAGAATCTTTCTCTTCAGGTGATTTTTGCTATTTTGTTTTAAATAGCTCTGGTTATATTATATATTTTGTGATTTGTTTCTTTGTTTGACATAATATATGATCAGACTCTTAAATTTACAAATTTTTCTTAGACATAGTTAATGAATATATCACACTTGGGATGACTGTCCCAGGAACTTGCTAACCAATTTTTTATGGTACTTTTGTACACAGCTATTATCAAAAGAGTAAAACACAAGATTCATTAAACTACCACTAAGACTAGCACTAATTTTATTTTATTTATTTTTTGCCGGACATGGGGCTTGAACTCTGGGCCTGGGCGCTGTCCCTCAGCCCTTCAGCTCAAGGCCAGCACTCTACCACTTGAGCCACAGCACCACTTCCGGCTTTTTCTGCTTATGTGGTGCTAAGGAATTGAACCCAGGGCCTCATGCATACAAAGCAAGCACTCTACCACTGAGCCAGCTTCCCAACCCCATAGTACTAATTTTAAAATATGAAAACATTTATATTAAAGTGTGTGAAATTTTTAAATACTTGAATTTTATATCTTATATTTGGATAAAACTGGCCCTGAACAGCTTTGTTTGTATTTGTAGTCATTCTATTTTTTTCTTAGAATATTATTAACAACTTACATAACTTCCTTATGTAAAACCAATAAGCTCCCCCCCAAAAAAAAACAAAACACACACAAAAAAACAATAAACCTTGGCTCTATTTAATAGAAACATTTTTCCTAAATTTGTTACTTTTGCTTTTCACATATTCTTCTTTTTTGCTAATTTTCAGAAACTTTTTCAAGGAATTCATTTAAAAACAGAATATTCATTATTCTATTGTTCCCATTGGGGCATGTGTATATGTGTGTGTGACCATTCTGGTGCTTGAAACCAAGGCCTGAGCACTGTCCCTGAACTTTTGTGCTACCACTTGAGCCACAGCCCTACTTTTGGCTTTTTGGGTAGTTAGTTGGAGATAAAGAGTCTCACAGAATTTTCTTCACAGGCTGGTTTTGAACTGTGATCCTTAGATATTAGCTGAGTAGCTAGGATAATAGGCATGAGCCACTGGTAGCTGGCTTCTTTACACTGATTTTTATACAACTATTAAACTTTGTATGCTATCATCTAGAAATGTTATAAATACCTTTATTTTTTAGCTAATATTATAGTAGCTTGGCTAAAAATGTTATGCTTTAAATCTATGCTATCTTTTATCTTAAAAGTAAGGCATTGAGATCTGAGGATCACAGTTCAAAAAAGCCAGCAGGAAAGTCCATGAGACTTCATCTCTAATACACCACCAGAAAACTGGAAGTGCACTGTGACTCAAGTGGTAGAGTACTTGCCTTGAGGGACTGCGCCCAGGCACAAAGTTCAAGTCCCATGTCCAACAACAATAACAACAAAAAAGAAGTCATGCTATGGGAAAAAAAAGTGCAAATTATAAATACTACATACTTTAAAGAACAAAAATCCTCCAAATTTTGAGAGGTAACAACTGTCTTTCTGTCCATTTATAAAAACAGGTTAATGTGTCTGAAACTTAACTTTTACGTCTTCCTCTTATCTCTTAGATTCTCTAATAAAGCCTGGAGAATGGTAGACATGGAGTATATTACTGTTAATAGTAACTACTATTAATAATCATTCTGAATGTCTAAGAAAAGATACAATGCATTCCTCAATATTTAATTAGAGAATTATTCAAGAATTTATTCAAGAAATGACAGTTCAAAGACTTAGTAATTTCTACAATGCTATTTTTGGAAATGCGGATTTACTTTTAAAGAAAGTTACTTTTCAGAACACAAAATATGCAAATCATATATTGAAAGAATGAAAATCAACCAACTTACTTGGGATATACTGGCTCGTAAAGGTACTTGTCCCCTCTTGAAGATATAATATGAAAAAATAAGATGTAGCCATTTGCTGTCTGTAAGAGAAATTTTATCACATTACATTTTAACTTTATTTATCATAGTTTTAATTTTACATATTCTTACCATAAATTAACTTTCATTTAAAAACCTTCCCAGAAGTGGAGCTGTGGCTCAAAAGTGTTAGAGCACTAGCCTTGAGCCAAAGAGCTCAGGAACAGCACCCAGGCCCTGAGTTCAAGTCCCACAACCTACAAAAAAAGAACCAAACAGATTTAAAAGCTGGGCGCTGGTGGTTGACACTTGTAATCCTAATTACTCAGGAGGCTGGGATCTGAGGATTGTGGTTCAAAGCCAGTCCAAGCAGGGGAGTCCATGAAATGCTTATCTCCCATGAACCACTAGAAAACTAGAAGTGGTACCATGGCTCAAAGTGATAGAATGCTAAGCCTTGAGCAAGAAGAGCTCAGAGATAGTGCCTAGTCACTGAGTTCAAGCCCCATGACTACAGAAATTTTTAAAAAAGAAAAAAACAGAAAAACCACCACCTTCCCTCTGAAAAATTACAACATAGTGATACTTGTGCTTACGATTACTTTTGTTTCACTATAACTCATCTGACTAGAGAAGATTTTATAGATTTGACAACATTTCATAGACAAAGAATCAAAACCATTAGTTTGGATATTCTCAAATTATACTATTCAACAGTACATAAGTGAATGGCAAAATACACAAAACTTTTTTGTTGTTGTTGGTTGTGGGGTTTGCACTCTGGGCATAGGCACTGTCCCTGAGCTATTCAGCTTAAGCAAGCTCTCTACCACTTGAGCCACTGTGCCATTTCCAGTTTTCTGGTGGTTTATTGGAGACAAGAGTCTCACAGAGTTTCCTGCCTAGGTTGGCTTTGAACCATAATCCTCAGATCTCAGCCTCTTGAGTAACTAGGATTACAGGTGTGAGCCACCAATGCCGGGCACAAAACTTTTTAAACTGCAATAATATGGCAGATTTTTATTCTAGTTTGTAAAGCACAATGCTAACATAATGTAAAATACTTTATTCTATTCAAATATATTTATATGCCTTAAAGACAGCAAATTTACATAGTTCAAAATCAAGGTTTGCCCCTCACTCACTATAAAACGTCTGTGATATAAAGAAAAAAAGAACAAACTTTTAATTTTCAAAATTTAAACCTCTGATTTACGAAGTATGAACATCTCAACAATAAATTTAAACAATTTCCTAAGTTAATGCAATATTTTTAAATAAAAATTGTACTTAAAAACAAAGTGCATGGGCTGGGAAGGTGGCTCAGTGGTAGAGCACTTGCCTTGCATGCTCGAGGCCCTAGGTTCGATTCCTCAGCACCACATAAGAAAAAAGAAAAAAGCCGGAAGTGGCACTGTGGCTCAAGTGGTAGAGCACTAGCCTTGAGCTGAAGGACTGAGCGACAGCGCCCAGGCCCAGAGTTCAGGCCCCACGACTGGACCCAAAAAAAAAAAAAAAAAAAAAACAAAGTGCTGCACAAAAAAAACCAAGTGTTATTATATGCTCACAGCACATATAACTGTGATTTGAGATCCATTTTAAGCTTATACAAATACATAACACTATATACGTAACTTTCTAGTCAAGCATTTTCAAAAATAATGGAGGAAAGTAGCAAATGTTTTTCCAACACTGCTTTTCATTAATACTGAATTCCTATCATTTTAGAGGCAGAGAGGCATGTATCCAAAGAAGAAACAAACAAAATCAAGAAAATCATCAAGGTTTCAATTTCTTTCCAGTACTAGTTTCCTGTTTTTCACTCAAAGGAATGGCAAAGGAAATGTTTCAGCAAAGCCAGGTTTGTTTTGCCTTTTAACTATAAACTTTACTACTTTGAAATGTATTCTCAAAAATGATCGTTCAATTTTGTTAGGAGATGAAGGGAAAAGGGTGACAATTGCCTAGCAAAGATTATTTAATTTTAAATGGCAATTTTATGTTCTTGTTAAAAAACAGAACATGGAGGAAAACAAAACTGATTTCAAATCAAACTAAAGCAAAACTCACCCACATATCATTACCATTACATAAAATTGTGACTTCTAAACTTTATGATCTAGAAAAGTAACATAGCCTGGCCTAGCATTTAAGATGGGTAACATTAACATACAAATGTTGACTGGATCATTAGTCATTCAAAGGCCAAAAAGTCCAACATTTCACAGTATCAAATGCTAATAATCCGTTCAGAAAGACGATAAAAGTTAGAATACTACAATGTTAGGGAGAATATATCATTTTGGACTAGCATGTAGAAATTTTATATACACAGTATATTAGGTGAAATTATATCTTCATTTACCATTTCAGTATTTTGTTTTTGTTGGTCATGGGCTTGAACACAGGTTCCTGGCACTATCTCTGAGCTCTTTCACTCAAGGCTAGAAGCTCTACCACTTTGAGCCAAAACAAGCATCACTTTTGGTTTTCTGGTGGTTAATAGGAGATAAAGGTCTTACGAACTTTCCGGTCTGGACTGGCTTTGAACCTCAATCCTCAGATCTCAGGCTTCTGAGTAGCTAGGATTACAGGTGTGAGACACCAGCACTCAGCTCATTTGAGTATTTTGTATCAATCATCTTAACTATATACTTAAGACTACTTATAACAAATGTGTATACTTGCAGATCTCAATGACATATATCATTAATTACAGTCTAATAAACAGATTTGCCTCAATTTAAAAAAATAAAGTTTTACAACATTAAGGATTGAACCAACCTCCATGCATGCTAGGCAAATGCTCTACTATTAAGCTGCATACCCATCTCTTGGCCTATTCTATTTTCCTTTCTGAAAACAGATTATACATCTGGCTCCACAGACCTGATGTATCACAAGTATTTTCATATTAATTTGACATAAAGATTTGATGAACTAGATATGTTATCTTCTATTCCAACATACTGTCATCAGGTTTCAAGTAAGAATGAAATAAGAGACTGGTATTTGTAGATTTTTTACATTAGCTGATAAACGGAATTTTTGCTTTCATTTTTATAGTTATACATATTCAAAGTAAGAAATTCATAAAATTCTTCCCAAATGATACCACCCCTAAGATAATAATCTTACATTTGTATACACACATCAAGATGTTTAATTAGAAAATGATTTAAATTTTTTAAATTTTTTTTGGCTAGTGCTGGGGCTTGAACTCAGGAAGTTATATACACTGTCCCTGATTGAGCTTCTTTTGCTCAAGGCTAGCACTCTACCACAGCTTCACTTCCAGCTTTTTCTGATTATGTGGTACTGAGGAATCGAATTCCCAGCTTCATACATGCTAGGAAAGTACTCTACCACTAAACCACATTCCCAGCCCTTAGAAAGTGATTTCAAAAGTTATAAATTGACGAGGCACCATGGCTCACTCCTCTAATCCTAGCTACTCAGCCAGAGCAAAAACATCTCTGAGACTCTTATCTCCAATTAACCACTAGAAAACTGGAAGTGATACTGTGGCTTAAGTGGTAGAGTGCTACCTTGATCTTAGGGACAGCACCCAGGCCCAGAATTCAAGCCCCATGACTGACCAATAAAAAGCTATAAATTGTTGGGTATTGGTGGGTGGCTCATACCTATAATCCTATGTATACAGGAGGCTGAGATCTGAGGACGTAGTGCTAAACCAGCCTGAGGAAAAAACTGTACGACTTTTATCTTGGAGCTGAGAAGGTGGCTCAGTGATAGGAGTGCTTGTCTCCCATTCATGAGGCCCTGAGTTCAATTCCTCAGCATCATATAAGCAGAAAAAGCTGGAAGTGGCACTGTGGTTCAAGTGGTAGAGTGCTAACCTTGGGCTGAAGAGCTGAGGGACAGTGCCAAGCCCAGAGTTCAGACCCCACGACCGACCAAAAAAAAAAAATTTTTTTTGAACATAAAGCCAAAAAATTTCACAACGAAGAAAAAAAAAGAACAAAAGAAAAGAGAAAATCAACTAATTGTAAGGCTTTGTGGGGCCTAAGACAGAGTCCCCAATTAACATTCATTAAAAATTGTATGTATATGATTTATTTTCCTGACAGAACAAAATTAGACTACAGACTAATAAAGGATGATTCTGGAACACCTCCAAGTGTTTTTAAACTAAAGTAGCATCCTTTGTTTCTGGTTTGGGTTTTGGTTGACACAGGGTCTCATTGTGTAATTATGGTTAGTCTATAATGGAGTACAATCCTCTTGCTTCCACCGAAGTGCTAGTATAAGAGGCAAGTTAAAAGATGCTTTTACTGGGTCTGTAATTAAAGGCTGGATACTCTGCTCCTGTCACTTTTTAATCTATACCCCTTAATCTCAGCTATTCCCTCCTGCAGTCTCTTTATAATCACCTTGGGCTCCAAGACAGGATTCACTGAAAAGTACTTGTAAAGAAAATGGCTGATAGGCAATGCCATCTTCTTACTATTTTGAAAAGAACAGCTAAAAGCAACAGACCACTTACCAGACCTTCAGAGACAAAGACTGAGCTAATCGTCAGCCAAGCCATACCTTTAATTTGGAACTGCTGTGTATGCATAACTTGTTCATCTTGTTCTCAATTCTTCCTATTTAACCTGAGACCAATATCCATACCCCCAGAAGATGGTTAAAGATGTACTAAAGTACTATCTTTCCATGATTAACATGTAATAAAAGTCTTCTTTCTCTATCCTTCACCATATGTCTTTATTTGGCCTAACATATATCGGGAATTTGGACCTGAATCTAAGAATTTGGTTTCATTAGATTTACAAACTCATGTCAGTACTCCAGGCTCTAAAATAGCATACTTCTAAGTAACTGTGAATCAAGATATCAACAGGAGGGTTGGGAAGGTGGCTCAGTGGTAGAGTGCTTGCCTTGCATGCATGAGGCCCTGGGTTTGATTCCTCAGCACCACATAAGCAAAAAGAAAAAAAGCCAGAAGTGGTGCTGTGGCTCAAATGGTAGAGCGCTGGCCTTGAGCTGAAGAGCTGAGGGACAGCGCCCAGGCCCAGAGTTCAGGCCCATGACCGGA